GTGTGTGTGTGTGTGTGTGTGTGTGTGTGTGTGTGTGTGTGTGTGTGAGATACAGCAAGGTTGTTCTCAGCGGTTTAGAGAGGGGAGCCTGGGCAAGTTACCCCTCATAACAACAACAGCTATCATTTATTGAGCGATCACTCTGTGCCAGCCACAGTGGCCAATGCCTGCTTTACACAGCTTACCTCATTTAATCCTCACAGGCATCTGAGGAGGGAGGTACATTGCTAGCTCCCTTTACAGACATGGAAGCCTGGCGGGGGTGGATCCCAAGGTTCTGTAACTAGAGAGTGGTAGAGTCAGGATGTTGGCCCACCACCTGCCCTCATGTCCACTGTCTTGGACTGCTTCAACCAAGACAGGGTCTGACGAGAACATCACCAGGAAGAAACTCCCTGTGGCCGAGGTCATGTCCAGTCATTCAGTTTTGCGCTGTCCTGTGCTATACCTCCTTCCCTTTTACCAGGCTTCAGAGAAGAGCTGGGGTGGGTGGGCCTTTGGTGAAAGGACCGGCTGGGGTGAGATTAATGTGAGGCAGAGGGACATGGGAGGTGGTGAGGGCTGTAGTGGCTGAAAGCAACGTCCAAGGACCAAGCTGACCAGTAGGCTGATAGAGTTTCATGGAAATGCAGCAGAGTGGGGAACATAAGTCCCTTCTTGGGAAAATGTCGAGAAACGGGAGCAGAGGGACATAAAATGGGGTGGTAGTGGACTCTGCCCTTACGTTGACTGCAGGGTTCAAGTCATTCCATTGGTTCTAAAGGAAAGGGACGTCCACAATTCGAGAGAGTTAGGGGCTCTCTGGGCTCGTAGGACTACACATAAAATAATTTGTGGCACACAGCTGGGTTCTTCCAAATTTGACTGTCTACTCTTTTATTTATCCTGTACATACATACACCTATATACATATTTTGACTAAGAATCAAAATTTTCTTAAACTTCTCCATATCCACCACCAGCATTTTTCTTTCCTGGGCCATTTGTACACAAAGAAAGATAATTTTTGTTTTGCTCTGTCTAATCATTTCATGACAGTTAATGTGTAGGCAAAATGAACAGAGAACAAAAATGCTGGGGTGCAGATGTTGGGTGATTGGTGAGGCTCACCCACCAGCTGGGTAACTTGCCTCACCACTTCCTTACCTCCAGCTTTGAAGGACATGACCCAACTTGGTTTCTCAGCCAAACTGTCAGACATTAAGGTGTCTTGTGAAATCTAAAACCAGAAATGTTAACTGCTTTTACTTTTAGAAATACCACTATTTACGTTACAGCTTCAAATGTTTGCATCTGCTGTTCCTACTTTAAAGTCCCTGGCAAAGTATCCTAAATGAAAGAATATGAAGTTACAAATATGCCCAAGGAATTTAAGGTTGACTATGCAGTCTGCACTCGGGGCTTGAATTAAGATTGAGGCAAGCTGATCTGACATGGCCTCAAATTCTGTTCCTCTTATTTAGGTGGTAAAAGAATTAGGGACACGAGAACCTTATGATTGAGTTCAAGCAGAAGCTTACTATATTTCTTGGCTTTAACCTGTTTAAGAATGGTATGTCTCTGAGGGAGGGTGGGGGATGGGTTAGCCTGGTGATGGGTATTAAAGAGGGCAGTTCTGCGTGGAGCACTGGGTGTTATATGCAAACAATGAATCATGGAACACTACATCAAGAACGAATGATGTAATGTATGGTGATTAACAGAACATAATTAAAAAAAATGAAAATAAAAAATTCCACTCCTGCCCCCCCCCAAAAGAATGGTATGTCTCTGGTTTCCTTCTGTAAAATAGGCTTCAACATAAATGAGCTGAGGAGAAATAGGAGAGGCAGTCCAAAGAAACACACATGGAGGGTATGTGCTGTTACCCCTCAAAGTACTGAGAATCCAAAGGGACTTAAAGTCCAGGACTTTCGGGCACATGCATTCATTTAAAAACAACAAGATAGTTCCCCATGAAAATTCAGTTTGGGCAATATCTCAGATGAATTAGCTTGACTTGTTCTTTATACCTGGAACTCCCTAGGTTGAAAAAGAGAGAGCCTAAAAGCAGATACCAATGTGTTCGTATCACAACTCATCCAGTAAGACTTCTGCCTTCCATTTTCCACCTCTGTCTTTCCACCCTACCTGTCGTTCACCAAAGTGAGCAAACACTGACTCCCTCAGAGTGTGTAGGTGGAAGGAGTCAATAGTCACCATCACTCAGAACGACGTCAACACTCTTTCAATCATTTAACATATATATCCAGGCAGAAACTTTTGGTTGAGAGAGAGGAAATATATATGATGCCTGATAGCATGAGTTCTGAAGCCAGATGATCAGGTTTGAATCCCGGCTTTACGTGGCTGTGTGACTTTGGGCCAAGTTACTTCATGTTATACCTCTGTTTCCTCATTCATAAAATGCAAATAGTATCTCCTACCTCATAGGGTGTGGTGAGGATTAAATGAGTTAATACATTGAAAGTGCTTGTAACAGTGACTGGTTAGTGCTCAATAAATATTGCTCTTAGCCCAACCCCTCCCCTCACATGTTTCTTATTTGTTTCTTTTTTTACCGGCAGAGTGTGGAATCTGTACAGCTAGCTGAGTACTCTCCTGCGCATGGGCATATACTTACTCCTCTCAGCCAGTCAACCCCACTTCCCTGGCCAGTGACTGATATACAAATGGGCAGATGGTACAATTCTAGCCAATGAGACACAATGTCCTGGGGTGGTGGTGGTGTTCAGAAAAGATGTGCATTGGAAGCAAGTATTTCTTTTCTTCTTTTAATGACACTGTTTCTACATGTCCATCTGCCTGTAACAGTAGAGCCATCTTGGCACAGTGGAGGGAACTAGAAGAAAGATGAAAGCAACAGTGACAATGTTGAGTTGAAGAATTAACCAACCCTGAAGTTTCTACATCTGGACTCCTTATAGGAAATAAGTTTTCCTTATTGCTCAAGCATTTTGAGTAGGGTTTTCTGTTATTGTGCCTGAAACATCCTAACTGGTAGATATTTCTTAAGCATCTAGTATGTTTGAGATGTTTTATAGGAAATAAAGTATAAAACTCTAAACCTGATCTTGCTAAGTTTTCCAGCTACTTGGGGGAGAAAAGCTATGAAAACTAATACTAAGCTATAAATATTAAGTGCTTGGATCGGGGTGGTCTGAGACCGCACTACATGAGGTCCTATATGAGGAGAGGGCTCAAAGAATAAAGAACACATCGATGGACAGGAGATGGAACATTCTAGGTAGTATAAGCAAATGTATGGGAGAGTTAGGGATTATATTAACTTGCTCGGAGTGCCATAAAGGAATACCCCAAACTGGGTGGCTTAAACAACAGAAAGGTGTTTCTCATAGTCCTGGAGCATAGAGATCCAAGATCAAGGAGTTGGCAGCATGGGTTTTATTCTGAGCTCTCCATCCTTGGTGTGCAGATGGCTGCCTTCTCACTGTGTCCTCACATGGTCTTTTATTTGTGCACGTGCATCCCTGGTATTCCTTTATGTGTCCAAATTTCTTCATATAAGGACAATAGATTATATTGGGATTTACCTTACTGGCCTTATTTTAACTTAACCACCTCTTTATTTATTTATTTATTTTAAAGACTTTATTTGACAGAGAGAGAGATAGTGAGAGAGGGAACACAAGCAGGGGGAGTGGGAGAGGGAGAAGCAGGCTTCCTGCTGAGCAGGGAGCCTGATGTGGGACTCGATCCCAGGACCCTGGGATCATGACCTGAGCCGAAGGTAGACGCTTAATGACTGAGCCACACAGGTGCCCCTTAACCACCTCTTTAAAGGACCTAATTTCAAAT